GACAGAAGTACGTAAAAGGGACTCGGTAGCCTTGATGACTCCCTTGCCAGAGATAGGAGCAAGAGAGCCATGCAGAAGCTCTAGAATTTATAATCCAAGGGATTCTATGTTTACCTGAGATGACTACATGGTTGACAGTAACTCGTATACCTAATTGAGCAAATGCAGAAGAATTGGAGGAAGCGGCTGCACTCTGAAGATGGCTAATCATCCTCCCATATTTCTCGTACTCAGTCTTCACCACATCTAATTACTCACTAGTGACCTTCTCATCAATTGCACTCATGTCATTATCTGGAACTATAGCTGCATTAGCATTCCTAGTCTTCCCATTTTTGGCTTTCTTTTAAAAACGAGGTGGAAGAAGGTCTGGATGCAGCTTCCAACATGTATCCTTACTATGTCTCAGATTCTTGCAATATTTACATATAACCTCCTTCTTCCCTGCAACCACCTTAGGTTTCATCCCCATATTAGCAAAATGGTCAACTAGAATTTTCCTTTGAACCAGAACCTGCCTCCTACTCTCCTCATTGCTCACTATGGCATAAGCCTGAGACAAAGATACATTGTCTTTAGCTAGGATATTCTGTCAAGAATTCGAAGACTCTATTCCTTTCAACCAATCTCTTATATGTTTATGTGTCCTTTGTACTTTCCCAAACAACAGTTTCCATGAGATCTATTTCTTGCCACAAGGATTTCAGCATTGAGAAATAGACTGCTAAAGGTCTCTCCCCTTGCCTCAAATTGTTGACATCACTTCTTAACTTATATGCTTTGGCCATATTCAATTTTTGTGAATAGGTTTCAGCAACACTGTCCCATATCTCCTTAGTAGAATTCATCTATAGATAGTGATGACTAATTTGGGGTTGCATAAAATTCACTAACTACCCAATAACAGTGTAATTTTCTTGCAACCATTTTTCATAGGATGAGTCATCTTCCTTTGGTGCTTTCTTGTTACTGGAAATATATCCCCACTTGCCTCTACTACAAACATGTATCTTTACTGATTGTGACCATGCTAGATAGTCCCATCAAGTTTGACTGTGGTCACAACCAATAATGAGTCTACGGGTACTCCTAAAACCTGTCCAGACTCTGAGCCAAGATTATTTTCAATTCCAGAAGTATACATCCTCAAAAAATCCCAAAACAAACTTCAGTTGATAAATAAGGGAGACAGAAAGAGAAAACAACAAGTACCAACCTTCACATATCCCCAATAGTAGAACTGCACCTTACCCGGTACCCAGGGGAAATTGAGAACTGGCAGCCTTTCCTTGTAGGCTTCACAGAAACAATCTCTGTTTGGATCGATCTTCAAGAGAACTACAAAGAACCTCTTCAACCACTGAGCACTTAGGTGAAACCTCTTGTGGGTCCCACAGTCAGAAATCTCCAGTTGTCTAGTGTTTCAGGCAAAATTTCAAAAGGCTGTTTTGAAAAGTAAACAAAATATCTTCTTTTCTTCTAGAAACGACTGCCAACTAGGCTGAATATCTTCTTCAATCAGTCAATGATTCAGTTCTCCATCCACACTGTGTATGTGATTAAAAGAAAGAGAAAAAAAAGAAAAGTGGAGCCTGCTCTGATACCAAGAAGAAAAAACAGTCCCAAAAATAAAACGAAACTGATAAAAGGAGGAAGAAACTGAGAAGACAACAAGAGAGAAGAGAAGGAAGAAACGATGGAAGAGAAAGGGATGAAAGAGATGAATTGTTCATACTCTCTCCCTTCCCTGATCTTTTAATTAATTAGCATAATCACTAAATAACAGTAAATTACAAGTGAGCCCTCAGTGGGGCGGCTGACTGATTAAAAGCAAGACAAAAGAAAGCTAATATGAAACAGGTCTATAAGAAAAAGGTCCATTAACCAACAGAACAGAACTCAAAATATAAAGCATAACTGTGGGCTATGGGCCATTCGGCGCATCTTCACTACAGCTTGCCATTTCTAAAGGATGCGATCTCAAATTGTTTGCAGTTAAGGAGTCCTCAGGATTCTAACATGTTGGGCCAATGCATAAACTTCACAAAATCTGAGATTGTCTTTCTGATGCCATACTCCCCAATGCCTCAAATGCATGGTCTAAAATTCTTGGCATCATTGAAGCTAGCAGAAGATCCAAATACTTATGCCTTCCAAATAGCATTGGAAGAAATGAAACTTCTACAGCAGTTGTGGAGTGAACTCATGCAAGATTGACAGGTTGGAAGTGGACGATGTCCTCACACACAGGGTGTGAGGTTCTGGTCAAGGCTATGGTCACTGTGATACAGTCTTATATCATGTGCCATTTAAGATACTTAAGGGTGTAGGGAATCTACCATCTTTTGGGGGTGTTAAACTTCTGTTATTATGTTGACAGGGTCCTTTCAGTCTTTTTCCCTTTTTATGATTGTTATTTCTTTGTTTACTTAAGTAGGGGCACAGTTGTAATTTCATTCTTTTTATATAATAAAATAAAACTTAGTCAGCAGTTGAGATCAATTAGTTTGACTCTTCTGCTCCCCAGCCCTAGTTTTCTTCTTCTACTTTATTCTCTTCTTCTCTACTTCTACTCTAGGTCTAAGACAGTTTTATGCTGTTATTTCATTTGTTTCAGGTTTGATCACATGGTATCAGAGCCCAATTGATCGACTTGGTTTGTCAAGGATGCCATTTAGCCCTTCTATCTGCAAATATCTTTTACTTTGCATTAAAGGAAGGAGAAAGGATCAAAAAGGACTGATAACCCACTAGAAAAGGAGGCTTACATGCCTCAAGTTGCAGTTTTGTGGAGTTGTTGGTGGTTTTCTAGATTCCCATTAGTTAGCAGTTCAAAGAGGGATTGTTTGTGCATGGTACAGGTTAGTTGCTCAATTCTATGGACTTGTAATATCTAGTGTTTTGTTGAGAAAGAAAACAAGAAGATGAAGAGAAGAGAAGAAGGAAAAAGAGAAAGAAGTTACAAAGGGAGAAGAGAGAGTTGCTGCTCACTTGCTCAAACTTGTGATTTATATTTTTGGGAGAAATTACAAGTATGTCCTCATATGGACACCCAAATACAAAGGAGCATGAAATGACAAAAGGACCCTTGCCACAAACAATCTCAACACTCCCCTTCAAGTTGAGCATATATGTCAATCATTCTTATACAGTTTATCTTGGAAAACTTTGGATGATGAAGGCCTTTAGTGAGACAATCAACAAGTTGGTCTTCTGACCATACAAATGGTAGGCAAATCTTTCCACTAGCTATCCTTTCTTTAATAAAATATCTATCCACTTCGATATGTTTTGTACAGTCATGTTGCACAAGATTGTGGGCAATATTTATGGATGCTTGATTGTCAGAATAGTCTCGTTGGAGTATTAACTTGGATGCCCATCTTGGTCAGTAAGGTCTTCAACCAAGGTAGTTATAACACTCCATAGGCCATTGTTTTGTATTTTGCCTCAGCACTAGACTGAGCAACAACTGATTATTTCTTGCTTCTCCATGAAACCACATTGCCTCCAACTAAGGCATAGTAATCGGATGTAAATCTTCAATCGACCCTCCCTAATTTGCATCTGTATAGGCCTCAATCTTTAGATGCCCATGGTTGGAGTACAACATATCTTTACTAGGACATTCCTTCAAATAGGCTAGGATTCTATTAACAACTTGCATGTGAGAGGTTTTCGGCTTATGTATATATTGGCTGACCACCCTGACTGCTCACGATATATCAAGTCTAGTCAAATAGAGATAGAGAAAGTGACCAACCACTATCTGAAAGACCCCTTTAACTTGTGGTTAGATCAATTGGAATTTCTACAAGCTTGCGTCCCAATTTCCCAACTTCATGTAGCAAGTCAAGAACGTACTTTCTTTGAGAGAGGAAGATTCTCTTCTTGGATCTTGCAACTTCAATTCCAAGAAATTACTTAGGATTACAAAAGTCCTTAATATCAAATTCAAAAGCAAGAAAGGGCTTTAACTGAGAGATACCTGAGATGTCATCCCTAGTCACAACAATGTCATCAACGTATACTATCAACATAATCAACCGACCATCAAACTTCCTTATGAACAAGGTGTGATCAGCCTAAGATTGGGTTAATCCAATCTTCAAAATAACATTTCTAAATCTGTCAAACCAAGCTCTAAGAAACTACTTGAGCCCATACAAAGATTTCTTTAAATGGCAAACTTTCCTTTCATTGTTAGGGAAACTTAATCCATGAGGTATGTGCATATACACTTCTTGTAGATCCCCATTACAAATGGCATTGTTCACATCCATTTGATATAAAGGTCATGAAAAGTAGGCAGCAAGTGACATAATCACACACATAAAATTCATCTAAGCTGGTCACAAGATGAGCTTTATACTTCTCAATTGAATCATTACCTTTGTGCTTAATAGTGTACACCTATCTCCTTGGTTCTTTATGAAGGCCTCCATATCTTGGTTCATAGCTTCCTACCGGTCAAGATAATAATTTGAAAATGTGTGTCTATGCTTCTTTTATCATTTCATAAAATATCATTCTATATTTTGCACATTTTACAATGTTTCCACCATGTCTATAATTTTTACAATGTTTCTGACATGTTTCTTATATTTAGAAAACTAACATTTTCATCAGCATTGACATTTTAGATCTTTACTAGAAAAATTTATAGCCAATCAACCAGTACCATAAAAGTGGTAACTGATCAAGTGACATTCATCAAAATTCACGGGGGATTTGATTGGTCAAAGCACTTTTGATATCATGTCATTCTGGCACCATAGATTTACCTATGTTATATTTGATTGCAAGGATGACTCAAATATAAAATGAATAAGTTCATATGAATGCATTGGTTAATCTAAAATCAATTACAACATAGGATTGATGCATTTAACTTCTCAAGATTGCTAGAATTTATTTCACTTGTTTCTTTTAAATATTAAAGGAGAGTGGTATCATCTGAAAGTTAAATAACACATATAATATGAAAAGTTGTTACTTACAACGTGGTGTACCCCTATTGCATGGAAAGTTTCGCTGGAGACATTCTAGCCCTTTAAAATTACTATAAAAACAGTGGAAACACTCTTATAAGAGTAAGATAATCACAAACTTATATATAGATGTTGAATGAGAAAAAAATAGATAATCTTTGATTAAGTAATATATTTATTACTTTGAAAAAAATCAATGGGATAATGCAGACTTAAAGGTGTCATAAGGTTAAAACATAGGATATAGTGAGGAGATACATTAACTCACCTAATATTTGATTCACCAAAGGTAAAGTTATTTCCCACCAAATTCCTGCACATTTTATAAGACAAAGAATCTATTGTTGATTTCATATGCACTACTAAAATTATAGATAGCATTAACGAATAAGTAGAAAATTATATGAAAAATGTATAATTCATGAAATATATATTATTTTATTGAGATTGTTGTGTTGTGCCTTGAGTCCTTGATGCAGCCCACTCCATGTCCTGAGCCTCATTTGTGGAGAACAACCCGAAGGCAAAATTTCATAGCAGTTTGTGGTGGAAGTGGAGGGGGTATGGGGGCAGAGCCCCTACAATGGTATGAACCCGACCCTTTTTTATGGTAAGTAATAGAGTTTTATTTATTAAAAATCACAAGTAAAAGGTTGCATAAAGCAAGCTTCCCAAAATAAGGCGTGAGATGCTGCCTCTAAACTACATCAAACATCTTATAATTGAGCCCAAAAGAAATGCTTCCTACTAGAAAATCTGCCATCCCAATTGTTGATCTTCGTTCCCATTGAACTCTGACTGTTACATTACAGTTAAGCATTTGAACATTTGAACCTTCTTATAGCCCCCCTATAGGACCAAGTTACAGTTTCTGACTTTCAGCCATCGAATAACCAGTTTAGAGTCGTCCTCGATTTGAAAGTGTCCCACACCCAGATCCTTTGCAATCTCTGCCCCTTTAAATACAGCTTGAACTTCTGCATTAACCGAGTCTCCCCATTTTTCAGCATATGAATTTGATTCTGATCTAAATATGCTATGTAATGTTTTTGGGGCTTTTATCTTTTATGTATTTTTGCCTTGCACAAGAAGACTACGAGAAAGTTGAGTGTTTCCTCTGGTGTACTTGGTTTAGAGTGAGAGTGAGTGTTGGTACAACTTTGTATTTCTCTATTGTCGTTTTAATAGTGGATTTCAACTCCTTTGCCTGTGAAAATAGGCTATATGCCAAACCACACAAATCTATGTATGCTTTCTTGAGTTTCTCTATTTGTACTTTCTTTTGTTCTTCTATATTCTTTGCCAATCAATTTCGGTCTTGTGTTTATTCTACCATAAAAAACTAGTACTAGAGCTTAAGGTTTTGAGATTGGGGTTCTTGAATGGCTGCAAGAATTTCATCTTTTGTGAAATACAAAATAAAGAAGTTTGATAGAAGAAACAATTTCAATCTATGATGCATTAAGAATGTGTGCTATGTTGATTTAGCAAGGATTACTCAAGGCATTGAAGGGGAAAGAAGCTTTACCCGTAGATATATTTGAAAATGACAAGGAAGACTTTTCGGAATGAGCACTTAGGCCTTGTTCACTTTTCTGTAAGTTACTTACCCAGGTAAATGCAGTTACTTGGGTAAGTTTTTCCTAGGAAACACTTATCCGGGTAAGTGCATTTACCCATGTTCTTTTATTTCTCATGTAAATAAGGCAATGACCATTTTATCCATAAAATTCCATTATTAAAAGGGGCATTTTTGTCCCATTCAAGTGTTAGCAACTTTCCCCCTAGGTGGGAAAGTTATTTACCCACCTAGGAGATGGGTATCACTTACCTGGGTAAGCGATACCCAGGAAAATGAACTTTCCTTGGTCCCCACATAAATCTAAAAAAACGAACATGGGATTCTTAGTCAATGGGAACCAAAATCCCATTGACCAACTTTCCCCCCTCTCAAAATCTAAAAAAAGAACGGCCCCTTAGTGTAATTTAATTGTGCTTAGCCAATGAGGTTTTGCTTGTTGGGTTGTGGTTCAACTAGGGTCAATGAATATGACAAAATCCCTCACTAACCGGTTGTACATGAAACAATAGTGCTTAAGGACCATCTTGATGAACTCAATAGAACAACTCTTGATTTGAGAAGTATTAATGTCAAAATTAAAGATGAATATCAGGCCAATATTCAATTATGTTTGTTGGACAGTGTATGCCCTCAACTTTAATTGGTGTGGTGTATGTTGACTTTATTATGAATAAAAGTCATTCATTTCTTGTGTCAAGGGTGTGTTATGCTAATTACCTCTTTATTTATATTAGTATTATGTATGAGACTGCATGGTTGTTTCAATATCGACATAAATGTTCACAACCGATACACAAATATGTCAAAGGCCCCAAGTCCATCTTGAAGGATTCACTGAGTAATTGTTGTAGCTTAGAAATTCCTTCTGCATCATCTCCTATAATGAGTATATCATCAACATAGAGGAGTAATATTGTTACTCCCTGCTTCCTCCTTAAGATGAATAAGGAATAATTGGAAGGACTCTGGGTAAAGCCAAAATCGGTGATGACGGATCTGAATTTTTCAAACCATGCCCTAGGGGCTTGCTTTGGGCCATAGAGTGACTTCTTCAGACGACAAACAAGTTGCGGATCTATACAGTATCCTGGTGGGGGCTTCATATAGACTGTTTCTTTTAACTCCCCATGAAGAAAAGCATTCTTGACATCCATCTGATGGGTTTTCCACTGTTTGGCTACAAATATGGTCATCAGAAGACGTACAATAGTCATTTTAGCTACAGGAGCAAAGGTTTCCTCATAGTCTATCCTGTATTCCTGTTTGTATCCATGTGCAACAAGTCTTGCTTTATATCTTTCTAGGCTCCCATCAGATTTCAGTTTCACAAAATAGACCCATCGACTTCCTATGAGAAAGGCTTTTGGTGGAGCTTGAACCAGGTCCTAGGTGTCATTCTCAAGAAGGGCTCGAATCTCAAAATCCACGGCATCTTTCCAGTGTGGTTCTGCTACGGCCTACTGGTAAGATCTGGGAATGTTTGTGGTAAACAAAACAACAGAAAAGGAGTTATGGTCTGGTGAATAACCATAGCGGTTAGGTGGTCGACAGATTCTAGTGGAACGACATAAAGTGGGTGTAGAATCAAAACTAGAGGCAGAGCAGGGGGGATGGAGATTGAAGAAGGCCGTTGCCTCCTGAAGTATGTTTAAAGCTATTGCGGAGGTGACAATGGAATATCTGAGGTGCTTGTAGAATCAAAACTGTGCAACAAGGAAATATAAGGAGTTGAGAATTTCACAATATGATCAAAAAAGGACACACTTTTAAGAAAAATTACATTATGAGAGATTTGAAGGTGACGAACCAAGGGATCATAGCAAAGGAACCCCTTATGTTCAAAACTGTATCCCAAGAAGGGACATAAAGCTGCTTGTATAGTTAACTCTGTGCGTTGGGGTGGAAGGTGGACAAAACAAGCACAACCAAAAACCCTGAGCATGGATAGGTCTGGAGGTTTGTGAAAAATAGATTGAAAAGGAGAGGAGTTATTCAAAATAGATGACGGAGGACGATTTATGAGATACACAGCAATGCTGGCCACGTCCACCCAAAACTAAAAGGGTACATGGGAATCCTATAAAAGGGTTCTGACTACACTCAAGATGTGCCCATTCTTCCTTTCTGCTACCCTATTTTGTTGTGGGGTGCCCGGACAAGATTTTGGGGTTGAATTCCATGTTATTTCAGGTAGTTCTGAAAATCCCCATCAATATACTCTCCCCTTGAATCCGATCTTAGCACAAAAATTTGAGCATAAAATTGGGTAATTACATAAGAGTGAAAGTGTTTAAAAATAGTGTACACTTCAGATTTCTTTTGAAGAAAATAAGCCCAAGAAAAACGAGTGCAGTCATCAATGAAGGTTACAAAATACTTATATCCTAACCGTGAAACAACTAGACATGACCAGACTTCACTATGTATTAAATGAAAGGGAATGGTTGCATGCTCAGAATAAGAAGGAAAGGGTAAAATATGACTCTTACATAAGAAGCAAATAACTGATCAAGATTCTTAGAAAAATGATGGTCAAGGCATCTATGCCTCAAATGCCAATCATTATTACAATTAAAAGATCAAGAACTAGAAATAGTAGAAAGCAAACAAGAAGTAGAAGAAGAATCAGTCTTATTTTTCTCAAACTCCAAGGCAAAGTGTCTTCTCAGTCTACACCCCTTCCCCTTCACCTCCCCAGTTTGTCGGTCCTGTATCAAGCAACCATTAGAAGTAAATGAGATAATGGAAATCAAATTGGTGGTGAGTTTAGGTACAAATAGAGTTTTGGATAAATGAAACGGAGATGATTTAGAGGTAGATAAGTACAAATCATCACAACCAATTATGTCAAGTTTCTCACCATTTTCAATAATAATATGTCTATTGGGAAGATGGGGTTTGGGATACTGACCAAGAGTAGCCCTCGTCATGTGGTTAGAGGCTTCTGAGTCTATATACCAGAGGTGGTTCGATGAAGGGCAATAGGTCGGTGACTTACCAAACAGACCGATAGCAGAAACCGCTGAGGAGATGACCAAGGACATGAGCTGTTGAATCCTTTCTTCAGACATACCGTTGGAGGTGTCATTTTGTCCAACTACAGAAGTGATAGAGGAGGAGGCATTTGAACCATCTATAGTAGTCTGATAGGCCTTGTAGTTTCCTTTTCTCCTGTCGAAGTGTTCCTTCATGTATTTAACACAACAGTAAGGATCATCTCCCATGTGAACTAACTCATATTCTGTCCAAAGGTTAATGAACCCAACATAGTACTCCTGGACCTTTCTATCTCCCTGATAGTAAGAAAAAATGTCAACCTCTATCTAATATTGTCTAGAGGTATTTGACTACTGATAAACTTTCTCAAGGTATTGAAACATCTCATAGGTTGTCCTGTACCCTCTCATAGGGATAGCAATATCAGTTTTGACTAAGCCTAGAATACATGATGCAATTTTTGCATTGTTGATCTTCCACTGGTTAAGCCCCTTGATGTCAGAGTCATTAGGTTTAGACACAGATCCATCTAGGTACCCCCAAAGACCCTTAGCTTCGACATGGAACAAAAAATTGAACTTCCATAGTGCATAGTTCGTACCGTTGAACTTAATAGGAAGAACATCCATCCTTTCTGATGCCATCGAATGACAAAGGGCAACAACACACACTTCCAGAAACCAAAAAAACTTCGAACCAGAGAAGAAAAGAAGAATACCTTTCGGCTGATGTCC